AAAAAAAAAAAAAAAAAGTTATCAGGTATAAAATTATATAAAGTATTTCCCTATCCTAAGCTTCACTTAAATCAACTTCTGGAACTAAAATTTTAATTTTTTTAAATTTTCAAATTTTTATTTTTATTAGAGACACAGTCTCACTCTGTCACCAAAGCTGGAGCGCAGTGGTACAGTCACAGCTCAGTGCAGCTTCAAGCTCCTGGGCTCAAGTGATCCTCCTGCCTCAGCGTGCTGAGGAGCTGGGACAACAGGTGTATGCCACCATGCATAGCTAATTTTTAAAAAACATTTTTTTGGAGAGACAGGGTCTCACTGTGCTGCCCAGGCTACTCTCAAACTCCTAGGTGTAAATGATCTTCCTGAGTCAGCCTCCCAAAGTGCTGGGATTATATGTGTGAGCCACCACAGCTGGCTTAAACCATACTTTTGGGATATCATTTTGGCAATTTAAGTCTGTTACTTACAACATTATTCATAATTGGGTGTCTCTCCAGAACAGCTAACAATTTTAGTATAAAAATATTAAAAAAATAATTCTACTACCACCCACTGCTATTCACAATAAACACGACAATATGACCACCTTAGTGAACAGAAAGAAAATGACCAAGAGGCACCTGTGGCTCAAAGGAGTAAGGCGCTGGCCTAATAGGCCAGAGGTGATGGGTTCAAACCCAGCCCTGACCAAAAACTGCAAAAAAAAGAAAATGACCTACTTCAAAATTGCATTATTTCTCTTTAAGAAAATATGCAGTCAAAATAACTTCATACAGTGATCAAAATTTAAATAGCTTACTGAGAACAACAGATGGAACATCCTGTGTCAAAGCACCAAACTCACCATACCGCAATACCTTGAAAGAAAGCTGGGCTTCTCTGGAGCCCCCTCCAAGCTTAACCAGTAGATAATCATACTACCTTCCTGAGAAGGGGTACAGGAGATGGAAGGGAGTGATCTGAGGGCCTATAATCACTTTCACTGAAAACACCCCACAATGACCGTTTCCCTTTACCAGCAAGTCTTAGAGGGTTCAGCCCGTGGATGCAGGCCACTGTGGGTTCTGACAGCACATGGGAAAAACTCACAGGACCACA